TTGGCGGAGTCTATTGTGTCATATGGTCTCAGCAGTTATGGTCGTACGTGTAAAAGTCATCTTGATAAAATTTACGGGTTGCAACTACGCCTTATTAAAAATATAGTACCGACTAAAATAAAAGCAAAATTCAAAGATAACTATCGAGATCTATTCCATTATTGCAGTATTATTCCAATTCATTACAAAGTAAATTATACAATATTAGTTGAAGATTACTTTAATAATAATATTCAAAAATCTTTTTATACTAATGTTAAAAATACAAGGCGGTCTCAATCAAAGAGGCTTGTGATTCCAAGGTTTAATAATCTGTATGGGGCAAGAAGTTTTGCATGTTTGGTTCCACTTTTGATTAATGAACTGCACGATGAAGTTAAAAATACAATAAATTCCAAAAATATTAAAAAGACATTGAAGAGGTACTATACCGAAAAACTTAAATAGGTATGTTATTTGCATTAATATATTAACGAATGTACTATCGGGTTTATATTTGTATGATATATAATTTGTCAACTTTGTCTTATTTATACATTAACTCCCATTTGCATCAAACGCACGCTGTATATACTCGGGACATTCTTAACTACTAAGTCTTTATCCATGTACCCACTATTACGTTTATTTTGCCTGATAGTAGATGAAACCAAATTAAAGTGCAGCGATAGTGAATGAGCGGTATACGGTCAAACTTGTATTAGTTTTTGTATACTTGCTAATCAGTTACTGTAGAAAAAGTTAAATAAATACACTTTATTATTATTATTATTAACATAGGTTGGTACATACCTATAATTAATCGTTATAGAACAGAGCGAAGGCTATTTATTCCATGCATTGCGGTCCTTAAAATAATCATCAACTTTATAATAGCCTTTACTCATAAGTATATTCTTTACATGAATTTGAAATTTATTTATGGGTAGGTCGATTACATTTTGTGGAACTTTATTGTGGAGCGTGTAATGTAACACAACAAAATTTTAACAAAACAATATAATTTCTATTGTCTACCCATTTACACATTGTTTAATTACAGTTATGTGAAAAAAGTTTTGTTTCAAGTAGGAAGACAGGAATAAACTAAGCAACAAAGTAGAAGGTAGTGTTGTGAACATGATACAAAGAAGAAAAACAATGTCTACATTACTTCTTTGCAGCAGGAATCCGCCGTATTTTGGGTGCTGTTTTCGCAGCGGTCACAGACTTGGCAGGCTCAAGATCTATTCGCTTAAGTTCTTCCATGCAAGTAACTCGATGTCGGCTATTGTTAAGGCCCAGCACAAGTATGACGCCTTCGCGAGTCTAACATCTATTAATGCCAAACTTTTCATGGGCTGCGACAAAAACACTGCGACGAGGCTGCGTCAAGTATTCGAACAAAGTTATGCCAGTACTCTTCAGCTATGATTTGCTATACCAAACCTGTCTCGAATACTGCTCGATTGAAACTTCACAATAATAGGGCGAGGCTCATTATTACTAGGATGACCCAATCTGAACGAAGTTTTGATATCTCCCACTGCAAAGCCGCCAATTTTAAATTTGTCAATAATTTATGGTTAATTGAACTTACCTTAAGTGAACTTCAACCAAAATTATACGAGTTGCTGCATCCGTAGAGATTTAACATACTTGTAGTCCGTTTTCGACGTACTGCATCATCACACGAATTTTAGTTTTTATAATACTATATAAAAAAGTAGAATAACGTAATTAAAACACTGCACTGACCTACTCCCAGGTGGTGACAGCGGCAGCCGCTAGGGGGCGTTCATTTGTTTCAGAGATTATTTAATCTTTCTGCAGTTACATTGGGAATCTGGGTGGGAAGGGTTCTTAAATCTCTACGGATGCAGCAACTCGTATAATTTTGGTTGAAGTTCACTTAGGGTAAGTTCAATTAACCATAAATTATACTTCGTTGCTGCATCCTATGAGATTTAACATACTTGTAGATGTTCAGCATATAACTGCAGAAGGATAAGTCAAAAATAAATAAAGAATATTCGATATATAATCAACTAATTTATTAATACTTAGTTACAAAATTTAATTATAATTTAATTCGTTGACCATTGCAGTCAAAACTGCGTTTGCAAAAGCATTATCAGTCTCTTTCATCCAGCGACTAATCGATTGGGATGTTTTTAATTGTAAGAATCAAATTTTCTGTTTTAGTTTTATTCAAAATGTTCTTTTCATTAATATACACAGAAAGGATTTTCGCAGGGCAAATATTAGGTTTTTTACTATAGAATGGAATAGTTAACTTCGTATTTACTTTATTATGAGTTGTGGTTTTTTAATAAGATCATCTATAATTATGCTAGATCCAGCTTCACTAAAAGAAATATTTTTATTTTAATTAACGATAACGTCTGTACTCGTTGTCCAGAAGACAACCCAAAAAGAGTTACCAACTTTTTAGTGAGCATGTCGATGCCTAAAGTTTCGTTTGGAAATTACTGTGATAGATAAGATAAAATTACATTTGGATCTCAAGAATATTGAAATTTGGGTAAATTAGGCCTAATCTTAAAACCCCCTTTGAAGAATCTAGTAACACAATCATTAACACACGTCTTTTTCCCTAATATTAACGATAGTGCAGATCTAAACTAATTTAATGTGCCCTATTTGGCTCCATTTTTGAAAGATAAGGTTAAAAATTTAAGTAAGTCTTGAATTGATGCTTCAAAAACAAATAACTTATTTTCATTACAAAAGGATTTGTAAGCTGTATTATATTGTTTGAGTGTGCTGATTTATAGTGATTGGATCATTATATCAACTGTTGCACTATCTATAACTTGTAAACGTCTCTCTGATAACTCGCGTACACCAGGGTAAGGTTGGGCCATAAGGGATGTGGTTCTATAAGGAGAAATTAATATATTTTTATACTGCCCAAGGTACAGAAACTTAGAGATTGATATTGAAGTGAATAGAGGGAACCAAGGTTGATTTGGCCAGTAGGGAACAATTAATAACACCCAGTTGCCTTATCGTTTATAATTTTCCTAATGCTTTTTAAAATAACTGAGAATGGTGGAAATACTTAAAAGGCCAATCGGTTCCATTAAAAGGTAATTTTCAAAAATCATGAAGCTTGATCTGTTTCTATATTATCTCGCGACTTAATATATAACGCAAATATGAAAGGTTTTCTTTGTTCACACCATTCCCATATTTCCCGAGTTATTTTATTTAAGTAGATAAATTTGATACCACCCGTTCTGTTGATATATAATATAGCAGTAGTATTATCGATTTTTGATAGTATCTCTGCATTCGTTTTATTATTACAGAAACATTTAAGGCTAACAAAGGCAGCTAGTAACTCCAAATAATTAATGTGATTTTCTCTTTCTATTTGAGACCAATAACCGTTTATACTTTCTCTATTAAAAAAAATCCTGAAATCCATTACAAAAAGTCTGAAATAAAAATATTCTATGTAGAAATTATTTGTACGAATACTGTTAACAGCATTATTTATATTTGTTATCCACCATAAAAAATAGTCATGTAAAAAAGTGTTAATTTTTATCTTTTCATCATAACTTTGTTTATATAATAAGGCAAGACAAGCCGCAACCAGAGTACTAAAGAAATGAGCAATTTTCTCCGATTTTAACTAAAACTTCTTTGTTCATGTCATGAACAATTTATAAATCATACTTCGTTTTCCCACTAGTTTAATTCTAATGACATTACAATAAACTTATTAACTTAACTTGACAATAAACTTATTGAGTATTGAAATCCTAGGAATTTACTGATTTTATTGGGTATCATAAAACTTTTTTCTTTATTAATTACAAAGCCAAATTTTTTTAAATTACTAACCAGCACGGATATAGTCTACGCACATGGAGGTTAATCATGACCGACACCCCAAACATCATATTAATAAGCCACCAATTTGTGACATTCATTTCTTAAGTGTGCTAATATGGGTTTCATTAGTATCGTAAAAACAAGCCGAGCTAAACAAAGACCGAACGGCAGACAAGTTTATATAATTTATCAAACCGAAATCTAAGGTACTTCCTGTATGTTTTATGAATGGGTATTAAAAAATTAGTATCTTTGAGGTCAATTCTTGCCATATATGAGTTATTAGATAATAATTTTGATGCCATACGGATGTCCTCCATCTTAAAATGTTCTGTGAATATATAAATTATTGAGTTCTTTCATATTGAGAATAAATCTGTTTGATCCATTTGATTTTGGGATAATAAAAAACAGGTGATATAGACTGATATTTTCGTTCAATACCAGGTACAATGGCTCCTAGCTGTAAGAGTATTTTTATAGATTGCTTTATAATAGGTTCTATACAATCTAAAAAGGAATTTCTATAAAATTTAATTTATAATCTTTTACTATTTATAATACTTGACGGTCTACTGTGATATTTAGTCAGTTATGTAAAAACAAAAGAAAAATACTGTATGAGGCCAGCATCTTGTACCTCTAACGACGGATGCGTCTTGCGATCTTGCGGCCAGGTTAGTGACTGGGCTGGTCGCCATGAGCTCGCAGGCGGGGGCAACCGACGCGCAGGTAGTGGCGGTGGCGGCGGCGGCAGCTGTTGCAGTGGCATCTGTTGGGGATAGTAGTATCAAGCGTGTGCAGGGGGCGCGCGCACTGCACCCTATCCGCTCGGTTGCCAGAGAGGCGCTCGCCAGTTTCGCTGAGAAGATGATGCCGGAGGTCTTCTATCTCCGAAATCAAATTTTTCAAGTTTAACTCCTTGAATAATTTTAATAAAACTTTTGTCACATATAGGAATGATGAGACGTCTTCTATTCATAGTTTCTTCGTAATGAAGGTCTAGCAGAATCTGATTAATTTCTGATAATATCCATTTTACCTAGTGTCAATGAGGGTACATCCATACTTATTAATTCCCAGGTTAAATAAGCCAGGCCGGCTATCCTTGAGCGAAGCTGATTTTGCATTTTTTGTAAGCGTTTATCTAGATTTTAAACAGGATCGTTGAGTATCGAAGCCACCTCTGGATTCAACCTCGAAGCTTTGGGTAGTGTGAAATTTTCCAGAATAAGTGTTTTGGCAAATAAGGCCTTTTTCTGCTCTTTCACTAGGCCTTCAACAAGGATTCTGCCCCAGTGTTCAGAATTTTCTTCACCTTGATGAGGTGTCACAGTAGGCACCACAATGTCAAATTCAAACCCTGGTTCATCTTCTAGATGACTAGCATTATCACCACCATCGCCGTTTTCCAGGCATGAGTTGTCTTCCAGATCTAACAACACAAAATGATTTGTTATCAACTCAAATATCTACTTTTTGGGTGACATCACGTGCCACCACTTAAAAAGTAAGTAATAGTTCCCGGGTAACATCTCGTGTTATCACTGAGGAAACATTTTTGATAGGAAGGTAACTAATGAGAATATAAGACATGTGAGCAATAGTTCCCGGATAACATCTCGTGTTATCACTGAGGGAACATTTTTAATAGGTAGGTAACTAATGAGAATATAAGAAATGTGAGTAATAGTTCCCGGATAACATCTCGTGTTATCACTGAGGGAACATTTTTAATAGGTAGGTAATGAGAATATAAGAAATGTGAGTAATAGTTCCCGGATAACATCTTGTGTTATCACTGAGGAAACATTTTTAATAGGTAGGTAACTAATGAGAATATAATAAATGTTAGTAATAGTTCTCGGATAACTTCTCGTGTTATCACTGAGGTCACATTTTTGATAGGTAAGTACCTAATGAAAATATGAGAAAAGTAAGTAATAGTTCCCGGGTAACATCTCGTGTTATCACTGAGGAAACATTTTTGATAGGTAGGTATGAGAATATAAGAATTTAGGTATGTACGTTACATTTATAATTTATCACAATCGATAATAAACATTCAATGGTTTATTTTAGATCACGTAGTCATGAGTATTATATTTACAGATGACATTTCGTGCCATCACATAGGAAATAAACTGATAAAACAATCCAATTAACAATGTAGGTACCTATGACTTATAGGTTATTTAGAATTATGATACGACTATATCATATTTTTTATGATAGTATGAAAAATGCACCTTTTTACTAAAAGTTTGGCGTATAAACTGAAAAGACAGGTAATAATAACTCACCTTCATATAGCTGGTTTTCATATTGAAAGGAATCACTAGACGCCGGCGCCGCCGCCTCCCGCGACTTTGACCTCAATATTTGATCTAATTGTTTAATTTTCGATCGAATTCTGTCTTCATTACTTTTATGTTTGCCCATTATGCACTTTCTTTGCAAAATACTTTATTAATTGTAAAAATAACACAATTTTTGGCGGAGCGAGTATGTAGATGATGCGACACGAAAAAACGAATGAACGCCCCCTAGCGGCTGCCGCTGTCACCACCTGGGAGTAGATCAGTGCAGTGTTTTAATTACGTTATTCTACTTTTTTATATAGTATTATAAAAACTAAAATTCGTGTGATGATGCAGTACGTCGAAAACGGACTACAAGTATGTTAAATCTCATAGGATGCAGCAACGAAGTATAATTTGTTATGGACTGAGAGGGATCATCGTTTTCTTGTTCAGGAACTCCATGGAACATCAACATCTTTCGCCGGCCATGCATCTCCATTCTGTCAACTGTCTTAGCGACTATATGGAGACTGCAGTGCACTCAACATCTCCAATATGAAGGCTTTGAAAGAGGCGTATTCACTGGGCAGGCCTGCAGTGTTGGTAGTGGAGGGTGCGTTCGAAGTTACCTGTAATTCAGCTTCAAAATTGGCCATTCTGCCATTGAAAGTCTCCATCAGCTGTGATAGCGTATGTTGTGCTTGCTATACTTGCTCCATGATGTCTTCCGAGATAGTTCCTGTCTCTTGAGATGATATAAAAAAATAAATGCATAGTGCGCTTTGGTAATAATAACAAAGACCATGTCGTCGGCGATGATCGCTCACGTTACATTATAGTTTGGTTGGTGGTAAAGTATCATACTGAGTCAAAATGAATTAATTTTTCCGGCAAAATTTGAAGTCTGAGTGTTTCGTAGCTTCAATTAAATATTCATATATTTCCTATAAAATTTTAAAATATTGTAAAATAATTCATTGCACTCATTTAATGCATTTTAAAGCACTTCTTATATTAATATCGTGATAGTGACATGTATTTGGAGTGATTGCCGATAATATTGAAATAAGATAAAATTTAAATAATTCTTGTATGTTTAAAGATAAACTATCATCTATTATCGTATAAAATTTTAGTAATAACTTGAATTGCAAGAAAAAGAATATTTGATGGATGTTGTATTTATGTATTTTATTTCTATGTTAGCCTTATAAAGAATACTTAGATAACTTGATCAGATCATTTTTGAAATCATTTATGATACCGCCAGAGCGACACATCTCTATCAAAGGTACCTTATTATGAAGCCGTGTATATAATACTGTACTAGTATTTATAATTTGTTTAACTATGTATTTTCATCTTGTACCAAGAAAATCGAGTTTGTTGACATAGCCTAATAATGAATATATTGAATTATAGCATTTGTGAATTGTACAATATACTCTCAATAATGGATTCTCTATTATAATAAAACTTTAGAAGCATTGATATAGTATTAAACAAAGATACGCCACGTTCACACTAACTTGCTGTAAAGTAAAGCTGTACACATAGACAAGTTGCACCTGAACGAAATAGATGAAACACCCAGCCAGCGCGTTAGTGAAAGAGATAGGCATGATTTACCTGGCACACAGAATAATATTTCCAATCGTAGAGTCGACACTCTTCTGAAATTTATGCACATGCAAAAAATGAAACATCATAGAAAAGGAAAATAATATTAGTCGGATTGAAAAGCCGCTGTGGTTATATTTTTATGATCTTCCAAATAACAGAATCAGAAGCCTTGCCCTTTTAAAATTACTTTTTATATAATATCATTGCTTAGAAGTATTTGTTCAATCTGCAGCTTTTCTAACGACTTATAATATTTGCCTCGCATCAAAGCAGCAAGTAACGACGCATGTCTAGTACTATGAGCACTGATTACACTTGAATCGTGCTTGTATCTATACTGCTTTTATCTAAAATCTAGCCAGATAATTGTCTCGAGAAATTAATTGTTAAACACTTGACCGTTATTTGAAACTTTAAGGTTTGAGATAGGCTCTATGGTTTCCTGCCTGCCTATTTGCCTCTCTTTCTACATATTTTGCCTTTCACTCGCACATCTGACGTCACTCTACTCAACCACCAGGCAGGCTTTGCGTGCTTGCTTCATTGGCGTCTTGTTTCCTGCAGCGCACGGAGGTGCTTCAACGGGTATCTAGTAAGTACATTAACGATTCTTTCTTCTTAGAAGTCAATTATTGTAGATACCCTAGCCTCTTTTATTATATTTAAAATTCATGAAATGAATTCAATTTTTTTTTATTTATTTTTTCAAAGTAATAATTTTATATTTGTTTTTATACGACCTCCGTAGCCGAGTGGTTCGCACGCCGGTGTCAAGGTGTTGCCATCTCTGAGGTCCTGGGTTCGATTCTCGGTCGGGTCAATGTAGAAAATGAACTTTTCTATATTGTCTCGTGTCTGGGTGTTGTGGCACCTTCGTTGTCTCATATACTCCATAATACGGGAGCTTTAGCTACTCATCTTGGAATCTGAGCAATGTATGTGATTTTTTTTTATATATTATATACCGGGTGTTACAAAAATACCCGTTATAGCTGAAGGGTGTTGAAGTATATCATATAAACAGTACTCTGCCAAACTTTCAAAACCTTTGCATTAACTTTTAACTTTCAGTAAAAAGGCTAATTTTTAATAATTAATAAATACATCGAGTGTGCTATGTCACATCACTATTTTAGGTTAATGACCTTACCAGGAGTAATGGCACACTACCTACCTCCTATGTTTTCTAATTTTTTTTTTCTATTCTCCTAGTACACACCCACACATACACACTAAGAATGAGAGAGAAAATATACTTAAAAACATGTCTGCGTTTGCCAGTTTACACAGTAAATACTTAACCTATTTCGATCGAAAATAAAATGAAAAGAAAGTAAATAGGAATCAAATCATTGGCAAAATGGTATGGTAACCGACGCTGTTCAGCCGGTAGTCTAATTTCAGTAAAATTTTCATAATACATATTATTATCAACACGCACATCATTTCATAGCATCGTTTCCGACTCAGCTGTTTCTGAATTACAGATCAAACACCATTTTAAGTAGTACCTATTTATGATAGATAGGTAAAATTTATTTAATCACTGATATACGAGTCTAACTTTTAGTTCATACTTTAATGGTCCGACAAATCTGATTGATATTACGATAATAAAAAAAAAATGTGATATGCGACATAATTCACAAACGATTTTGGCGTATTTAAAAATAAATATTTGCGAATTACTATTTGTACTTTACCTTTTCACTTCCTTATTCACTGTTTAAGCATTACTTGTGAGGTTCACTCACCTACACTTTATTAGGCACTTAATTTTATTCCACAAGAAAAAACTAAAGATCGCGGCCAACCTCTGGTTCACTGACTTTTCAGTATAATTACATCTTTTCAAAATACTCTCAATTTATATCAATACAACACTGCATCCGATGTAACACTGATAAAAATACTTTTCATAGTACCTATAGTTCCGCAATTAAATCTGAGAAGGAGCGGGATAGGGTTGCCATCTTCTCTTATTAGATCGGAAATTTTGTCCTTAAAGTCGGACTAAGTCAAATCTATCGCGAAGCCGTAAAACAATATTACCGTAATATTAGTTCACGGCTTCGCGGGGGTTACTGCCTAGTTATCCAGAGGGTGCGTTAAGCAAAAATCACTAACTTTCAATTGATTTTGTACTAAGACGTAACATACAAATAAGCGGTAATTAAAGATAAGATAACTACATCATAATTTTAACGGTTTTATCACAGCCAAAACGTGAATTCATAAAATAAGGCTTGATCGTAACATCAAAACTGCACAACCTATTTTGAAAAAGGTTTTTTTTATAAAGTAATTTCGGAGACTATACGATGAAAACAAACTAACGATATGTATTCAAATTTCGCAAATGCCCGTGCAACACTGCGTCTTTTTGGGTATTTGACGTTTTTCGAATTTGTGTGTATTCATAGTTTATTTGATATAGCTTCGGCACAGGTATACCAAAAACCTATGAAAACTATACCGCCGGACATGTGACATTAACATTATGCTGCACACAATCTAAACAGTCAAACATGTCCCGCTAAAGACGGATAGATGGCAACCCTAGACAGGCGGCAATGTTAAAGTTTGAGCCTAAACTTCTTGTTGCCTAGTACCGAGGTGATCAACATTTTATTGTACAAATTAAAAAAATCGTCGCAGGACATTGTTGCAACTAATTTTTTTTTTACATACGTACGTAAGTACATAATACGTAAAGTATTAGGAATTGTTAATTGACAAAGATTTAGTAAATTTTTATTGTTGTTGATAAGATAGTACATGGTTGTATTTTTAGTGTTGTTAATGTTTGGTAAAGACTAGTTTAAGTGAGAAATGTGATATACTTTCACGCTGCACCTGCAAAAGAGCATGCTTGGCTCAGTCTGTAGAGAGGAAGTAGCATCGACTATCATAAGACATCGTTAAATAAATAAATTAATGTTTTTCGTGGGCCGTAGTAATCTGCATACAATCGACATACCTGTTCAAAATTTTAACTCATTTTATACACCTTTTCTATTTTGAACTATTTTTCAAATAAATGACCATTTGTTTGTTAGCTGTGTCGGTCATTTTAGGGCTTTTTCTATGTAAGGAAATAGGTAAACAGTACATAATAAAACGTCTCATTCATTTTCAATTGAGTTGAATAGCTCACAGTAATAAAATAGATAATAAATTAAAATCCGTACCAAATGTTTACTACTACCGTATCTAGCGTCAAGTCGTCACTCGCGCACGACATCACACAAACACGAATGATAATGTTTCGTTTCTTTCTCTCTCTCTCTTTCCCTCCCTCTCTATCTCTATCTTACGTCATTGTACACTCGGGGGAATAAGTGAATTTGTTTTAGGCCCGATTATGTATTGATTTGTCTTACGTATTTAAATACCTAAACAATAAAAAATATTTTTAAGAGTTAAGCTAATGAAGTTATTTCTTAGCACCGGATACAACCCTTCCTGCGCGAGTCCAACTCTCACGTGGCCGGTTTTTTTTTATAATTAGTTGTT